AAGCACATTTATGTATATATTCATACATTGTCTCCTTTATACTGGTGAACCTTCTCAATCACACACACACACACAAACATTCAGGTTCACACAAATGCACTCATACAAACATACACGCGCACACATACATACACACAAATATATGCACACACACACACACACACACACACACACACACACACACACACACACACACACACACACACACACACACTCACACTCATGTTCACACATACTTAAACCCACAGACGCAGACATACACACACACATATATGCACACCTACACACACACACAGACACATACACATACACTTACACACACACGCGCACGCACACACATTCACTGTCACACACATAATTATACTCATACACCTACACACACACATACACAAAACACACCTGCACATACACATACACTCACACACACACACTTTCACATACACAAACTAACACACACACCAAAACAAACAAACGAACAGACACACACACATGTGACATGTTCACACAAAAGAACACACACTCAAAATCCCTCTCCTAAGAAGAGTAGGCTACCTTTCCCCTTTTACCCCATCTGTCTGACATCCACCCATTGGCGCTCATATTATGACCTTATGCAGTTGCGAGCACCGTAAAAGCCGTACTGTGGGTAGTTGGCGGGTGCTCTGGTGTGGCTTGCTTTTTCTTTCCTATCAAACATCTATCGTCCTTATCTCCCCTTCTTCTTTTTTATGTTTTTTGCTCTCTTGTAACACTTCTAATCTTCTGGCGCTCATATGACCTTATGCAGTTGTGAGCGCCATAAAACCTCTGCTAAAAAAAACAACAACAATAAAAACCATACTACAACTAAATTCGGACCCCACCTGTCTGTTCCAGTGTGCCCCACCCCTTGTGGTTGCGACCAACACCGACGAGAAAACGTTGAAGAGAGAAGGCGTGTGTGCGGCCAGTCTGCCTACCACTATGGCGGTGGTTGCGGGCTTCCTGGTCCAGAATGTTCTCAAGTCAGTGACCTAGAAATGATGAAAGTTTTTTATTGCAAAATATTATTATACTCAATCAAGTCAGTTGTGTAGAAATGAAAGTTTTTATTGCAAAATATTTTACTCAAGTCAGTGATGTAGAAATGAAAGTGTTTATTGCAAAATATACTCAGTGTGATGTTGAAATGAAAGGTTTTATTGCAAAATATTATTATACTCAAGTTTTTATAATGAAAGTTTTTATTACAAAATATACTAAGTAAGTGATGTTAAAATTAATTGTTTTATTGCAAAATATACTCGTCAGTCATGTAGAAATGAAAGGTTTTATTGCAAAATATACTCAGTGGGATGTTGAAATGAAAGGTTTTATTGCAAAATATTATTATACTCAAGTTTTTATAATGAAAGTTTTTATTACAAAATATACTAAGTAAGTGATGTTAAAATTAATTGTTTTATTGCAAAATATACTCGTCAGTCATGTAGAAATGAAAGGTTTTATTGCAAAATATACTCAGTGATGTAGAAATGAAAGTTTTTATTGTAAAATATTATTATACTCAAGTCTGTGATGTAGAAATATAAGTTTTTATTACAAAATATTATTTCAATACTCAAGTCAGTGATGTAGAAATGAAAGGCTTTATTGCAAAATATACTCGTCTGTCATGTAGAAATAAAAGGGTTTCTTGCAAAATATACTCAGTGTGATGTAGAAATGAAAGCTTTTATTGCAAAATATTATTATTCTCTAGCCAGTTTCTTCTTGTTTGTTTTTACATAAAAGATGTTTTGTAAAAAGTTGTATAATCCAGTATAATTAATGTGGGGCATCGTGGTGAAATCAGGCGCTCGTCAAAATATTGAGATCAAAGAAACTGGCACGTTTTTGTTTTGTTTAGTAAGGTTTTACGGTGCTCACAACTGCATAAAGTCATATGAGCGCCAAGGGGTGGATATCAACAGAGAAGTCCAAACGTTGAATCAGTTTTATTCTGCTCACCTCTCTAGCTTCAACAACACAAAGTCTGTTTCGACTATCGAGGCACTCCGGAAATATAGCAGTTCACAAGACAGCGACAAACATACAAAAGAAGTAGAGTGAAAATGACGATAGTAAGAATGAGGAAAGAAAAAGCAGCTGTTCCCCTATGTTGTTGCGGCACAGTATGAGCATGACATTGATAAATCAGCCCATTTAAAAACACATTTCTGTTTGGATTTTACTGAAAAACATCGATTAAAGGCACAAAAAAAGTAAATTTTTAGTTTCCAAGGCCTCTTAAGCTATAGAAATTAGCAAACTTTTGTAGCAGTTTTCTCGCAAATTTTGCCTCTGAAACCAGATGACCCTTACCTCCTTCAGTCGCAAATATCTTGACTTCTATTCAACATAGATGAATAATTTTTTACACCAAAAAGCAAGACAACTGAACAACCTTTAACATGGTACCAACAACCCCATATGCTTAAAAGTTGACGAGCGCCTGATTCCACCACATCGGGCCACTTATGTAAATTTGTAAGATTGTTACTTTACTCTAGACTTGGTACATTACTAATTTTTCTCATGACGATTCACTTTCTCCCAAATAGATTGCCCAAAATTCTACTACATGTTATCAAAATTTTGTATTGAGAACTTCAAAATTGTTCATGTTATCAGAATTTTACATTGAGAAAAGTCAAAATTGTTCATGTAATGAGAATTTTATATTGAGAACGTCAAAATTGGTCATGTTATTGGAACTTTATATTGAGGACATACATACAAATTATTCATTGTATCAGAATTTTGTATTGAGAACATCAAAATTGTTCATGTTATCAGAATTTTGTATTGAGAACATCAAAATTGTTCATGTTATCAGAATTTTGTATTGAGAACACCAAGATTGTTCATTATTATCAGAATTTTGTATTGAGGACATAAAAATTGTTCATGTTATCAGGAATTTTACATTGAGAAAAATCAAAATTGTTCATGTTGTCAGAATTTTACGTTGAGAACGTCCAAATTTGTTCCCAGGTACCTCCTTTCTTTCGGAAACGTCTCCTACTACTTGGGCTACAACGCCCTCCAGGATTTCTTCCCCACCATGAGGATGAAGCCGAACCCTCAGTGCGACGATTCACATTGCCGGAAACAGCAGGAACTCTTTCAGGTGACTTCATTAACCCTATCCGAACGCCCCCTGGGGTCATTTTGTACCCCCGGGGTTGTGTTCTTCACATCTTAGAATACTTCTAGTACGAAGATCTCTTTGAAATTTTCAGTGTTTCTCAAAAACTCATTTTGACAGACTGCTATGCAAAGCGTACGGATCGGATCAACGAGTAAATTTCCTCTTGGAAAGTGGTGGCACAGAGTTCCCCACGTTGTATGGATAGGATAGTAAAATACGACGTATGGATAGGGTTAAAGTAATTGTGAGATGGCTGCTGACATTACAAAAGATATGTGGGTGGTTGGCGGGTGCTCTGGTGGGGTTTGCTTCTTCTTTCCTATCAAACGTCTATCGTCTTTATCTCCCCTCCTTTTTTTGTGTGTTTGTTACTCTCTTGTAGCACCTCTAATCTTCGGCACTTATATGACCTTTTTGTGTTGCAAGTGCCGTAAAACACTTACTAAAACAAAACAAAACCCAAAAGCGAGAGACTGGAAATTAGGAAACAACCCTTGTTCAAATTGCTGATAAATTGACGATACGTCCATATAATATGTTCCTCGTAAGTTACCAATATTTACGTTAATCTGAAAAGAGTTATAGAGTGCATATTATTATTATTAATAAAAAAAACAACAATTATTATTATTATCGTTATTATTATTAATTTTTTTTAAAATTATATTTATTATTTTTCATTGTTCTACACAACTTATTATTATTATTATTATTATTATTATTAATTTTTTGAAATATTATTATTATTATTATTATTTTTATTATTATTAATCCACAGAAAAGGGAGGCTGAGAAACCCAAGGAAGAAAAAGAGACAGAGGAGATAGAGGAAGTCGTAGTGCATGATGACAATGAGTGGAGTAAGTCGTACTAATACATGTTCACAAGCTGGTACATACGTGTACGTCTACATGTTCACTCATACATGCTCGTACATACGTGTACTTCTACATATTCACCTATACATGCTCGTACATACGTGTACTTCTACATATTCACCTATACATGCTCGTACATACGTGTACTTGTACATGGTCACAAGCTGGTACATACATGTACTTCTACATATTCACTCATACATGCTCGTACGTACGTGTACTTCTACATGTTTACAAGCTGGTACATAGGTGTACTTCTACATGGTCACTCATACATGCTCGTACATACGTGTACTTCTACATGGTCACTTGTACATGCTCGTACATACGTGTACCCCTACATGTTCACTCATACATGCTCGTACATACGTGTACTTCTACATGTTCACTTGTACATGTTCACAAGCTGGTACATACCTGTACTTCTTCATGTTCACAACCATGCGGGTGGTTGGCGGGTGCTCTGGTGTGGTTTGCTTCTTCATTCCTATCAAACACCTATCGTCTTTATCCCCCCCTCCTTCTTTTTTGTGTTTGTTACTCTCTTGTAACATCTCTAATCTTCGGCACTTATATGACCTTATTGTGTTGCAAGTGCCCTAAAACTCTTACTAAAAGTTTAAAACAGGTTCGAATGTTCAACAAAATAATTTGTGAGGCATGGTGGGGAAATCAGCTGCTCATCAAAATAATGAAATCGAAGAAACTGGCACTTTTCCAACTCTTTGGCAATTTTTTGTTTTTTTTCGAATTTTTGGTTTTTGGCTCAACGCCTTTTGTGTCCATATAAAAACCCATTTCCATGTGAATTTGACTCAAAAACATTGATTAAAGGCACAAAACATGTAATTTTTAGTTTTCAAGGACTCTCAAGCTGTTGAAATTACCTATGGCGGACATTTTCTCACTAATTTTAGCACTGACACCTAGCAACCCCATCTTCTTCTATCACAATTATCTCCACTTCTATTGAAGATATATGGGTATATTTTTCAGGTGGGTGGTTAGCGGGTGCTCTGGTGTGGTTTGCTTTTTCTTTCCTATCAAACGTCTATTGTCCTTTTCTCCCCTCCTTCCTTTTTATGTTTATTACTCTCTTGTAACACCTCTAATCTTCTGGCGCTCATATGACCTTATGCAGTTGCGAGCGCAGTAAAACCCTCTACTATAATTTTTTTTTAAATGAAAGCGAGACGAATAAATAAGCTTTCATATAATACCAATAACTCCACATCCCCAAAAATTGACGAGCGCCTGATTCCACCACGTTGTGAAACATGTGGCCTTCTTGTGTTGTCACAACAAGTGCTGTAAAACTCTTACTAAAACTAAAACAAAACAATTTTGTATATGATCGCTTTTAAAGACAAGCGGGCTTTCCCAGATTTCGGGGGTTTCCAGAAATCTTGACCGACACCTAAAGTGGACATTGCCCTACCTATAGGAGAAGTTTGGTTTCTTTGTTGTGTATATTTGTTTGGTTATAGAGAAAACGCTCCTTTTATTTTAAAGAAATTGAACAAGGGGCAAAAGCTTTACCTTCGATTTTGTCGAAACAGCTTTTTTTCGGGATAGCCCCCTTGTGTATAAAAGCGACCAAATAAGCTTTCATAAGATACCAATAACTCCACACGCCCAAAATTTGACGAGTGCCTGATTCCACCACGTCGTGACACATGTGGCCTTCTTGTGTTGTCACTATAAGTGCTGTAAAACTCTTACTAAAACTAAAACAAAACAATTTTATATATCTGGCGGAGGGGGAGAAATCAGATCAAGTTTCTGAGAAAATCTAAGGCAGGACGGCTTCTGTGAGAGAGAGAGAGACAAAAACCAAAAATTCGAGAGAAAAATTGCCAAACAGTTGGAAAAGTGCCAGTTTCTTCGATTTCATTATTTTGAGGAGGGCCTGATTTCACCCATTAAATGTGCAAGGATCTGGACAATAAAGATGTATCTTTTCTTCTTTCTTCTTCTCGATCGCATCACACTTGAAGTCTGGTATCTGTCATAAATTGGGCGGTCCTGCTCAGTTCATCTGTCAGCCCGTATAGCTTCTCTTGTAGCGTCAGTGGGGTTGGCCACGCTTCCTGTCTCAGGGCCCTGTGTGTCTTGCAGTGCTGAAGGATGTGTTCAACTGTTTGGTCCTCCTCTCCACACTGGCATTTTGATGATTGTACTAGTTTAAAACATCTGTACATACGGTATCTTTTCTTATCTTATCTTGTCTTATGTGTGTCGTGCAGGTATCGAGGTGGTGTCGGAGACCACTGAGGAGGAGGCTGAGGCAGCCGAGGGGGAGAAACCGGAGCTGACTCAGGGGGTGACTGTGGCTTATACCAAACCTGCTGCTGCTGCTGCCAAGGTGTGTGTGTGTGTGTGTGTAGTGGTGTGTGTGTGTGTGTGTGTGTATGTGTAATGGTGGGGGAGGGGGAGAAACCGGAGCTGACAAAGAGGGTGACTGTGGCTTACTCCAAGCCTGCTGCTGCTGCCAAGGTGGGTCAGTGGGTGGTTTGCGGGTTCTCTGGTGTGGATTGCTCCTTCTTTCCTATCAAACATCTATTGTCGAAGCAGACTTTGTGCTGTTGAGCCTAGAGAGGTGAGCAGAGTAAGCCTGATTCCCCATTTGGACTTCTCTGTTGACATTCATCCCTTGGCATTCATATGACCTTATGCAGTTGCAAGCGTCGTTTAAAAACTCTACTAAAACTAAAAAGACACAAATTCTGATTGAGAGGTTGTTTTTTTTTTCTATTTCTCTGATGTGGTTTGCTCCTTCTTTCCTATCAAACATCTATCGTCCTTATCTCTCCTCCTTTTTTCTATTCGTTACTAGCTCTCTTGTAACACCTCTAATCTTCGGCACTTATAATATATGACCTTATTGTGTTGCAAGTGCCGTAAAACTCTTACTAAAACTAAAAAAATTGCATGTATGTTTTTTTCTCTTTTTTCCAGAAGGAGGAAGGCTCAGACTTTGTGGGGCAGACAGAGATGAGTATAGACGACCTGATGAAGCAAATGCAAAGCCTATGAGAGAGAGAAGGAGAGAGAGAAAGAAAGAAAGAGCGCCTAGTCTTTGTCTGTTGTCTCGTGTTTACATTCTCTGTCTGGTTGCAGAGACAGCTTGCTAACTCCTTATCTCCAGCAAGCCGCTCCCAGCGGCTCGCGGTCGGAACCCCTGTGTCGGTGAGCTGCTGACAGCGACTCGGGCACACTCCTTTACGACGACTTCAACTTCAACATCAAATTATTTTTCAGCAATTCAGTTGCCAAAAACAAGTCTCTTTCACCAGAATTTCATTCATTAGCTGGAGAACTATCGAAATAGGTTCACTTGTTTTGAGTTAATGATGAAAGTAGTGATGTAAATGTCAATTTTAGATGTGGAACCAAAATAGGGCTGCGGCATTGTGGGTTTACTCCCCTCGGAGATAAAGAGTTAATGTCATGACCTCAGCATGTTTCGGTTATTACTCTATTTGTGTCACGGCATGTTGGAATCAGGCTCGCGTCAAGTTTTGGATATGTGGAGATATTGGTATGGTATATATATATATATTGAGTGGCTGGTAGATATGTGCTTTGAAAAGATGAAAGAGAGAGAGGGAGAGAAAGATGAAAGAGAGAGAGAGAGAGAGACAGCATTATTTGTCTCCTGTCATGTGTATATCTGGGTACTATTAAGTGCAAGAATGAACTTGTTTGCAAACACATCTTCCAAAATGCTGCGTGGAATTGCAATACTTGCTCTTGGAACGCCTTTTTAAATTGTTTTTGTATGATTCATTTATTAATTAGTGAGACTTATTCACACAAGTTCCTCACTGTATTATTTCCTGCAGTGTGTCATTTTCGTTAAAGTGCACCTGTTTTTAATTTATTCTTCAGAATAGGCATTAGTTTCAACATTGTATTTTCAAAATGAAAAACAACTTGTCCACGCTCTTCATTCATTTTTTTTTCTTCTCTTTTCCTCTACTTGATGTGCATACTTCAAGGACCTTACGACAAAGTGTAACCTCCTTGGCATACGTGCACACTTCTGGTGTGCTACTGGGAACAGAAACAGCTGTGGTTTTGAGATAGTTTTCAGGATGAAAACACCAGTCACAAGTTGAATACCCCCCGGGGCAGTGCCACTGACTGTAGTGTCTTTAGGCCATTCCCAAAGGGGGGGACATTTCTCGTTCAAGCACAGTAGAATTGTAAATGGGCTGATTTATCATGTCACGCTCATAACTGTGCCTGATCTACAACAGGGAACTGCTGCTTTTTCTTTCCTAATCCTTACTATTGTCATTTTTCCCCTACTTCTTTTGTATATTTGTCACCCACTTGTGACCCACTATTTCCAGGGTGCCTTGATAGTCGAAACAGACCTTTTGCTGTTAAAGCTAGAGAGGTGAGCAGAGTAAGTCTGATTCCCTGTAAAGACTTCTCTGTTGACATCCACCCCTTGGCGCTCATATGACCTTATGCCGTTGCAAGCGCCGTAAAACCCTCTACTATAAAAAAAAGTAATAAAGAGCAGGTTTGACTATAAAACATTCTTGAGTGTTTGAGGGTTTGTTGTTGTTGTTTCCTTCATGGGCAGTTTTGCTCATCAACAGCTGGCTTTTTTGTTTTTTGTTTTTATCCCTTGCCCATTTATAATTATGAGATTGATGTCATCTGATTAGTAGAAAAAAGTGCCTATGATAGTGTCCAATAGTTTAATTCGTGCATACTTATTAGTATGACAAGTAATTGTGTTACAGATTGGCGTAACAATGTGTTCTGATGGAGTGTGTTCTCAACCAACTTCTTCTTGTTTGCCCCTGCAGGTTTTCTGGTTCCTCGAGCTAAATCTAATTTTTTTCGACCTTCCTTTTTACCCCCCCCCCCCCCAGGGCAGTGCTACTGACTGAAGTGTCCATAGGCCATTTCCAGAGGGGAGGATTTTAACATGTTCTTATGCACAGTAGAATTGTAAATGGGCTGATTTATCAAGGTCGTGCTCATACTGTGCCGAAACAACATAGGGGGAACTGCTGCTTTTTCTTTCGTCATCCTTACTATCAGCATTTTTTTCCCCTCTACTTCTTTTGTATGTTTGGGTGTCTTGATAAAGCAAACTTTGTGCTATTGAAGCTAGAGAGGTGAGCAGAGTAAGTCTGATTCCCTGTAAGGACTTCTCTGTTGACATCCACCCCTTGGCACTCTTATGACCGTATGCAGCTGCGAGCGTCGTAAAACCTCTACTAAAACAAACTAAACATCTATCGTCCTTATCTCTCGTTCTCCTTTTCTGTGTTTGTTACTCTCTTGTAACACTTCTAATCACCGGCACTTATATGACCTTATTGTGAATAGGATGATTTGTCAGTGTCATGCTCATACTGTGCCAATAATGACCTTATTATTGTGCTGCCAAGAGCGAAATGCTCGCAGCTAAAGGGATTTGAAAACAACAGCATGACCTTATTGTGTTGCAAGTGTCGTAAAACTCTTACTAAACTAAACTAAACTAAAGACATGTACACTTAAAATACGAAATTCTTGTTTTCTCCATTCTTCTACTTTGATGATTGGTTTTTGTTTTTAAAAATAAATTTATTCCTTCAATGGTTATGGTGCACGTCAAGTATCATGTTTAAGAAATATATTTTTTTTGTTTTCATTTCCTCTGCTTTCCAAATGTCTGTCGGCAATGTATGACTGTTCTGACACAATATGTGATGATTATGTGATTAAACATTATTTACCTTTTGACCTGAAACTCGTTTTGCATTTCAATCATTTGGTGCTTCCTCTGTGAGTGATTGGACTATGTGTCTAGATTAGATATCATGTCAAGAGTGTATGATTTCATTGGTTTGTTTGTTTATTTATTTATTTATTTATAATTTAATGGGTTTTTCAGTTTGGGGGGGGGGGGGGGGGGTCATCCAGTGTTTTTATGCGCCCATCAACACAATTTAGATCGGGGGCGGGGGGTTGCTTCTTCTTTCCTATCAAACATCTATCGTCCTTATCTCCCCTCCTTTTTTGTGTTTGTTACTCTCTTGTAACACCTCTAGTCTTCGGCACTTTTAAGACCTTATTGTGTTGCAGGGGCGGTAAAACACTTACTAAAATGTTTTTTAAAACCAGAACGATTTAGATAATTGAGGAGTGATAGGTCTAATCCTGACGGTAAAGGCCAACGTGGGCCGAGAAGGACACAACATTCCTGCAAAAAGACGCGAGAAAAATTCTCCCCTTTTGGGAATCGGACTTGGTTTTTCTGCGTGTGACAACGAAGCACCAGTGGGTGGTTGGCGGGTACTCTGATGCGGTTTGCTCCTTCTTTCCTATCAAACAACTATCGTCCTTATCTCTCCTCCTTTTTTGTGTATGTTACTCTCTTGTAACACCTCTATTCTTCGGTACTTATATGACCTTATTGTGCTGCAAATGCCGTAAAACTCTTACTAAAACTAAACTTTTCTCTGCACTAAATGACCGTATGAATAGTTGGTGTGGTTTGCTTCTTCTTTCCTGCTTGCATCTATCAAACAGCGTCATCTCTCTTCCCTCTTCCTTTTTTTTCTTTTGCGTGCATGTTACTCTCTAGTAACACTTCTAATCTTCAGCACTTATGAGCACGTATGACCTCTTCCTGTTGCAAGTGATGTAAAACTCTTAAAACTAAAAAAAAGTGTTGTACTAAGTGGGGGCTCTCGTGGTCTAGAGGTTAAGGTGTCCGCCTCTCATTCAAAGGTCCCGGATTCGAATCCGGGTGGCGACCGAATAATTTTGTTCACTAAAATTGTCTCCTTTCACCTCCTTTCCTGCTCCTAGCAATGTTCTGTCGTCTGCTTTCTGCCCCCACCCCCTCACCTCCTCT